CGCTGCGCTCAGTCACTTGCCCTTACGGCCGCTGCGCGCCGCTGCTCTTTTGTAGGGATTGGCCCTAATACCAATATTTTAAATTATTGGGAATCAAAGAAGGTTACCGATCCACAATTATACTTAATTTATAAAATTTTCTTGGCAACACCAGAAACACAGGCGAGTGTGGAGAGGCTGTTCTCATCTTTAAAATTTATAATGAATAACTTAAGAATGTCGTTAAAGAATACAACCATTCGACATTTTAATCGTTAGAAATAACCATTTGTATCATTTGTGTCAGTAAGAAAATTATTTTAATTTGACAAAACTGATTGACTGATTGTTAATTTTTTTTTTTTTGTTCAGTTCCTTTTTAGAGAAGTTTTTAGTTATATGATTTTATAAGTCAACAAAATAATATTTTCATCTTGTCCCAGACAATGTTCTTTTTTTACTATATAAGAAAATAAGGATCATTAATAAAAAATACCTATATTTTCTATTTTGTTAAATTACCAAAAGATGTTTAAGACTGATTTAGCCAAATATTTTACTTTGTTCATTATAATTATTTTCTTATTTCCACTAGTTCAAACATCGTCACAATCAATTGATGAATCGATGATTCGATTCAAGGGACGTTCGACACTAAAACAGTACATGCCCCTCAAACCCATGAAGAGAGGATACAAAGCTGGGGTAAAAGCTGATAGCAAAACTGGTTACGTTTACGAATTTAGCATTTACACTGGTAAACGTGAAGACCAAGTTCCTGAAGTCGGTCTAAGAGTCAAAGTAGTGAAATTTCTCACACAAAAACTTATTGATCAAGGCTTCCGAGGACGTGTAGCTTTTGACAATTTCTTTGCATCTTATGAGCTCTTGTAATATTTGTTTGAAAACGTAATATATGCCACCGCAACCGTCAATTCTGGGAGACCAAATTTGCCACTAATACTAAAAAACGCTAAGCAAAAGAATAATGTTTCCTTTATCATGTGGCAGGATACAAAAATAGTTACAGTTTTGACCACTGCATTACATCCCAAAATTTGCCATTGTGAAGGAAATGAAATGATTTGAATTTGTGAAAGAAAGCAGAAAGACGGTACAAAAAAAACGTATCCTTGTCCAACAGCGATACTTGAATATACACGACGTATGGGCGGTGTAGATCGTTTCGATCAGAAGCGGAGTACCTATGAAGTCGGCAGAAGAAGCAAGAAATGGTGGCTTCGCATTTTTTATTTTTGCATAGACCTAGCAATAACAAACTCGTACCTTCTTTACACCGGACCTCGTTTAAACACCTGCATTTATTCTGTCTTATAGCTTGTCCGTCACGGCGGACCTTGTTGAAATATGGTATGAAAGGTGAAAGAACCCAATTTTGCAAGCTTACCCAGTCTTGTGAAACTTAGAACAAACATTGTTTTGTATGGAGTTCGTAACATTTAGTGTACCAACATTCAGAAAAACGTTGAGGTACCAACACAACAAAACGAACTTGGTACCTAGTACTTCCGACAATTGACACAACATGGTTGGCGCCTATGTGCAAATGTTCTTGTTGATATTATTCCGTTTGTTTTTTTTTTCTTTTTCCTTGTGATTTAGGAATTTAGTGTAAGTGACCTAATAGACTCTGTTACTGTAAGTGATTCTTGTGAGATATTTGACTCTTTTTTATTTGTTATTATTACAACCTATTACCGAGACAGTGACTCTAAGTTTGTGTCTGTGAATACCTTGTACATCATCATGGGCAAAGGTCACAGACGTTGTGAAATTTGCCATACGAACGAATCTTGGCCTAATGCTAACAAACTACATTTTTCCCATTTTCCCCTGGATCCAAATCGGTGTGTACCTACTTACTTACCATTGTTAATGGAAATTAGAGGTTTGCACCGGAGCAGTGAGTACAGGAGAATAACCGGTGATTTACTGGTAAAAGTACTCGATTGAAATAATCGGTCTTTAACCGATTGATCTCCGATGATCGACGCAATAAAGTGACACAAATAAAAGACACATTAAACAATTTTTTTTACAACTATTTAACTTGCCAGTTATTTACCAACTTGTTTCTTTCTAATTAGATTAATTATTTCAGTCATTAATTCAAAGCGGTCTTGTCCGTTTATGTGATTCATTTCACTCACTAGCAACTTTCCAAATAATTTGTTGCAATGTTCGTGATTGCCTATTTTTGTTATTTTCTGTTTGCATTCCTTTTTCATTGCTCATTACTATGGGTTGCTTATTTGATATTTCTAGCACAATCACCTTCTGGTGCAATTCTGGAAATTCAATAAACATTTAAAGCCTTTAGATAAAATAGCCATTAAATACCTAGCTGTGCCTGCTGCTTCTGTAAGGTCAGAGAGAGTATTTTCGACGACAGGACAAATACTAAACGATAGAAGAAACATGACACGCTATGATGCTGTTGACATGTTGTGTTTCTTAAATCAAAATCAGCAAGCGCTATTACCTCCCTTCTTTCCAAGGTGATGGAGCGAGTAATCAATACCTACAGAAATATTAAGTTTGCTTGTTTAATTTACGAGTTTAAGTACCTACCTGTTTACATTGTTGTTTTATTACTATGGAACCGAAAAAAAGAAAAGTTGAAGATGAAAATAGACAGTTTTTGCCAGAATGGACAGATTTATATTGTTTTACACTGCCAAATCGTGCTGGAGCAGTACCAATGTGCTTAATTTGTAACCAAACAGCGGCGTTAATTAAAAGCTCGAATATAAAACGCCATTATGATACCAAACACAAATCATTTGCCCAAAACTTTCCAGTTGGTAGTGATCTGGCGTAAGTCTAAAATTGCAAGTTTACTTTCAAGTTACTCAACTTCGACCAAAATCATAAGCCACTCAATGACTGAGCAGGAAAAATGTGGTGAGACTTCTTTACGCATTTCTTGGATTCTTGCTAAGCACATGAAACCATTTACTGATGCTGACGTAGTTAAAGAATGCTTACTCGAGGCGGGTAATGCTTTATTTGAGAACAAAAAGGATGTTGTTGAGACGATACGACGGATTCCGTTATCTGCTTCTACTAGCACCAGAATACTGAAAATTTGATTTCCTACCACTGTATTATTCACCAAACTGTGCTTTGCTGCAAACTCAATCGTAACTTGCAGCGTATTATGCAAGAAGTGATGAAAATAGTGAATTTTTCCGAGCGAAATCATCACTGCAACATCGTCAATTGAAATCATTTCTTGAAGAAGTTGATGCACAATATGACGATCTACTGTTGCATAATAATGTGAGATGGTTAAGCAAAGGCTGCGTTTTAGAAAGATTCTTCAGCATTTTGGAGCAGTTAAAATATACCTTTTTAATAGTGATCAAACTTCAACAAACGCCTATTGAGGTTTCCTAAAAGAAAAAGAAAATGTAGCTGCCATTGCTTTTTTGACGGATATTTTTAAACATATCAATGACCTGAACCTTGAGCTTCAAGGCAAGGGAAAGCTTGTATGGGAGCTCATGTCGGAAGTAAAAAGTTTTACGAGAAAACTTGATCTCTTTATTAATGATGTTGGTAGTGAACGCTTACACTGCCCTAATGAAGTATAAAAATCTTCCTCATGTAAATTATAAGAACGTGCTTATAGAACCAAAAACATTTCTAGATAATGATTGTGGTTGCTTAAGAAAATGTAAGGAATTGGTCCCAGTTGAAAAAGGCTTATAGTCCTTTTGTAATAATCGTAGTACAAATCTGGGTACTGATTAGCCGGGTCCACACCGGACGATCCATAGCGCTCCAAATGCGCGCGGCAGGAGCGCGATCCAAATGTGCGGGCGGTGTGAACGTGGCGCGCGCGATCCATGCGCAGGTATTGGAGCGCGCGATCCCTGCTGCGCCTGATCCGTGTGTTGTCGGTTTTTTGCCAGCCTCAAAAGTGCCTCAGTTGCGTGCCGCGCGCGGTGTAGACGGTTGTGTGTGGTTCGCGAGATCCTTGTCACCATGGTTATCTCGCAAAGTCGCCGTCTGATATCGCTTTGTAAGGAACTTAAATGTGAGGGTGTCGATTCGCACGCCAATAAATGAAATTCGTGCGAATCGACTACAGAAAAAATAATATGTTTTAAAGGAGTCGATTCGCACGTTACGTGCGAGTTAAATTCGTGCGAATTGTCCAATAAGCTGATTTTTGTGCTCTATTGCTATTTCAAATTGTATTAGTGTGCAGAGAAGTGCTTGCAAGGCTTTTGTAAAAAATTTTACTTTTATTTACAGATTTAGCGCTAAGGGAGAAGAAGGCGCGCCTGAATTATTATTATTATGTATGTCTTTACCATTCACGGGACCACAGGGTCCCGGTCATTTGGGAGGCGTACGAGGGGCCGAAGCCAACTACGCAGAGGCCCTTTAGACAACTTTAATCTAAATGTAATGGACACACAAACTGGCGACTATCCCTGTATGCACTATGGAAATGCACCCAAGGACAGTCCCCGGTTAATGTAGAACTATTGTGGATAATGGAAGAAAAAAAAGGTAGGGCTATGGATGGGTTGCTGTGGACTGGGAAATTGGGAACTATGGATGACTATGACACCTGCCGAAACAATGTAATTTTTACACGTAAAAATGGCAGGCGGAGACTAGCCAACTCACCGACCGGGCGCCGGGAATGGTTGCTAGATATAGCAACAGAGGGGCAACGAGAATGTGAGTGGCTGAAGGGTTAAGAAACAACCACCGCTTTCTACTCAGATCATCTGCTCCAGCCGAAGCCTCCTGCATACCTGGCCCACTCGCGACTTACGAATAGTTTCTTACCCTCCGAGCAGGATCACTGCTCTCGCGACTCCACTCTGGACGGCCAATGAAGGCAAGCCAGAAGTGGAAGACCTGTTCCTTGTCATCGTTCACTCCAGCCAGCCAATTAAGGCAAGCCGGAGAAGAAGGAACGGTGACTTCTCCCTGGAGCACTCGGGATGATGGTAGCCCGTGGGATACCTAATGCCCGTCACCTCGCCTCAAGGTGCCCTGCGGGCACCTTATTATTATTATAATCTTTCAGACAAATTGGAGTCTGGCGTCTTAAAGAAATTGTTCTGTCGGCGTTGATAAATCAAAAAAGAAAGGCTACCGGTAGCCGTTGGACATCGAAAAATAAAATATTAGCCTTAGATATATTTAAGAGGTCACCAAAAGCCTACCGATATCTGCAGCAGCTAATGCCACTACCAAGTATAAAAACGTTGCATAATGTTTTAATAAAAATACCAGTCTCCACTGGTGTAAAACATCTGGAATAGAACATTTAAAAAAATTCGGTCAATAAGGATAAAAAAGACAAATACTGTGGTCTAATATTTGACGAGATTGCTCTAAAACGACGTCTCTTTTTTAATATTAGTACAGACAAGGTTGAGGGTTATGAAGACTATGGCCCGGAAGCAGAACGTGGTTCTCAACTGGCTGACCATGCATTGGTCTTTATGTTGCAAGTTATACGAGCAAAGTTTAAGCAGCCAATAGCTTTTTATTTTGTTAAGGGTACAGTTTCCTACCAAAAACTAGCCTCAATTATAAAAGAAATTATCATGGTTGTTGAAGATACTGGATTCAATATATTAACAACAATCTGTGACCTCCTGTTTTTAGGACCCTTCCTACAAATATGAGGACCCTGAAACTATTAAAATCATTATCACTTTCTCCAATTAACGAAAATGACAACTATTTTACTTACTCAAATGGAAAAAATTACATTGTTTATGATATACCTCATTTATTTAAATCGATTAGGAATAATTTCCTCAAATATGGGGAAATGTATATGTCTGGAATGAAGGCTAAATGGGAGCATTTGTTACAAGCAGAGAAAAAAAATAGAAACCTCTTATACCTTAGCAAAATCACTAAAGTGCACGTGGAGCCAAAATATAGGGCAAAAACGAAAGTAAAATATGCTACTCAAATGTTGAGCAACACAGTAGCAGCAGTTGTAAAATTAACGGCACAGTCGCAAAATGATCCAGTGAAACAAGAAGAGATGATGCAGACTGGTACAATTATCAACGACTTAGATCGTCTTTTCGACAAAATTAATCATCATCATGCCCAGATGATATTAAAAAGGGGCGCCGGGACAATGTATCCATTTCAACAGACCATCTAGATGTTTGGGTTGAATATAGCGCTAAATTGGAAACCGTAGTTTTCAAAAATTCTAATAGAATTAAAGCTAAAAATGTACGCTGTATACAGGGTTACATAACTAGTTTAAAATCATTGCGCGATATTTGGATAGAAATGAGCGCTTGCGGTTTTCATTATTTAAACTTAAGACACCTGAATCAAGACGCTCTTGAAAATTTATTTGGTGTCATTAGACAACACAGCCCTACTAATAGGAACCCGACTTGTTATTCTTTTATATCAGCATTAAAAACGGCAATTGTCTCTGGAATGACAGCTCCTCACAATAGGGGATCGAATTGCGAGAAAAATTTGAAAAGCCTGCTAACAGACTTTCATAACGAAATATTTAAAAAACCAGAGAACAAACAGCAGCTGTCAAAAGAAAAAAATTCTGACACATTTTCACAAAAAATCGGTTTGGGTGACTCTTTTAATGATAGCACCAGTCTAAACATTTTTTTAAAATAGAGCAACAGCCCATCGTGTACATTAGTGGGTACATATCGTCAATAATTAAAAAAAAGTTTAATTGTGAAATTTGCATAAAATGTTTAAAAATGGAAAACCCCGATTTAAATGATCCTACATATGATTACCTAAAACTAAGATAATTTTGGCCAGAAAAATTATCATTAATGAAACGTTAGAAGAAGATTTTGATGAAGATGATGTGATAATGGTTGACAGAAATTTTAAAATAAATGATTTCGTTCTTGTTAAATTTAATACAAAAAAACTGTTGTGCACTATGTCGCACAAATCGAAGACATTAGTCCTACCATGGCTACAATAAAATTTAAGAGGCTGAGTAAGATAAGAAATATAAGATAAGAATGTAAATTTTAATAAATATGTACCTCAAAATTGTACATAATAATTAAACAAAATTTTCCAATTTGAGGTTTTTTCAATTTTTTGCATTTTCTAAGAATATTTCCTACAGTAATGTATATTTTTCTTTACACCATCAGAAAGTAGATATTACAACGAACAAAAACCCCACAAACTTTTTGAAAAAAGCTGATATTTTGACGTCAGAATTTTCGATTGAAAATTAGGGTGCTTTTTTGATTTTAAATTAAAATGAAGCGAAAAAATAAATATTTTTAATCAAATAAATTACAGTGTATTTGGGACATAATAAGGTAAGTTTTCACCAAATTTCGTAGAAAAAAAAAATTTTTGAAAAAGATATAAATAAAAACCAAAACGTTGGTTGTTTGAATTTTTCACCTAAATTTTGAGGTTATGTGAAACATCTGCAAATACATAAGTTGTAGATCTTTTTTGCCTACAACTTTGCCATTTAACTTTTTTCCATAGGACTTGTAGTTTTGCCGGAAATCAAGATAAACCACTTTTTACCCTTAAAAACTCCCCCCCTCCCACTTCCCGAACTCGGATCGACCGTAATTTATTTTTCCTTTCATTTTGATCATATTCCCCTCCTTTTCTAATGCGTTTCATCCTACTGTAATTTTTTTTGGTTTCAAAAATTATCTGCCCTGGTCTATAGGGCCTCTTTCACCACCTTCAAGTAAAGTGTTGATTAGTTACTTGTCAATGAACGTTACTTGGCAAGTAAAACTTACAAGTAACTTCAGTCGATTTCACACGCGAAATTAAAGCTCTGAGTAACTACTTGCCGGTTTATTGAACGATGTCACAAACCGTACATTACATTCGTTCAATAATACGTCAACGTTACTCGACAGACGTCATCATTGGCGATTTATCTGTCATTAGCGACTTGTGAGCGGGTATTTTGTATTTGTTTTGTTGTTGTTTTCTTTAATTATTCATCCTCGTCGCCATGGAAAAAAGTAAACGAGATAGGAGCGCAAACTTTTCTCTCCACGAGCGAGACATTTTGGTGTCCTTGATCGAAAATATAAAAGTATATTAGAAAATAAACAAAGCGATGCGTCCACTTGGAAACAGAAAGAAGCTGCGTGGGAAGCCATTCAAATTGATTTTAATGCTAGATCTGGAGGGACATTCCGGACAACAAAGACGCTAAAAGTAAAGTATGAGGGCCTCAAAAGAACTTTGCGGAAAAAGTCCGCTGCGATACGCTCGGAGCTCTACCGCACTGGAGGTGGCCGCAACACGGCGCCTCCGCTAGACAACGTCGAGGAGCAAGTTAAAGCAATGATTTCTTTGAGCACTGACGGAATGCATAGCATTTATGACTCAGATGTCATACAAGAAAAGTGAGAAGGAGTGTCAAAAGATATTGCTTTAACTCGTATCCACTATCACCAAGAATTAAACTATTTCTAAATTGTCCACTTTCTAATCTTTGTTTCAAAAAAGAATTATTAAAAATAGTTTGGTCATGAACAGACCCTGGCCATCTTGCTACAATGTCCAAGCATCTTAATTTACTATCACAAACCAGCTGAACATTAATTGAGAAATTGGATTTTCTGTTTCTGTAATTTTCAGCTGAATCGCCGCCTGAAATAACAAGTTTATAGGTGTTACATTGCTCTTATTTACATAGGTAAATTATACATTATTAGGTATATTCATAATATTTAATTCTAAAGTATAAAATACCGGGTGACTTAATAGTAACGTGGATACAATCCAAAGCTCCTATTACTCTAGGGAATCTTTCGATTTGATAAAAACCATCTTGTAGAGTAGGGGACCCTGGGGCTGTTTTAACAGGGGTAAATACTAACAGCGTAATTACCTAAAACCTATTCGACTTACCACGCCAATTCCAACGCACTTTGTGCCTACGAATACGCGCGAACGTGTCTCGACCTGTCAGTTGCCGACCGAGCGTCACGGGAGCATGTTGTGTTAGACGCCTCAAATTTCACAGGTAAATGAACTTTCTTATGTGTGTCATTTTTTGCATTACTCTTTAAATATATATCGTAGAAAATTGGTTTTGCTACTGCATTAATCCGTATTTATTGTATTTTTCATTAATGTTAAAGTTTTAATCGAGAACATAAGCGATAATAAAAAAACAATAACTTTGTGCAAAATGGGGCCGTGGGGTTGGTTTTAACAAAATGCACGGGGTAGATTCTAACGCGTTAATATTTGCCCCGCACACGGGGCAGGTTTTAACAGTTGAACAATTTTTAAAGTAGGTAATATTGTTCTAACTGTTTCTATACGACGAGGTTGCAATTTTGATCCCAACTGCGATCCCATTTCGAAAAATGTTAAGGTTATGGCGATGGAAAAATAAGTTTTCTACATTGTCTCAGGTTTGGGTGTTGTGGTATCTTCGTTGTTTCTGATTTCCATAACACAAGTGCTATATATATATAAGCTACCTACTTACTAAGGGATCGGAGCAATGTATGTGATGTTGTCCACTATTTATTTATTAAATTAATATTGTGTGCTGTATGGATCGACCTATTAAACTTCTATTGTTTTTTTAGGATGAGAAATTATAAAAGGAAAACCACGCGTGGAAGTACATCGGAAGAGGTATATGAACTAGCAGCTAAGGAAGTATTGGAAAATAAAAAGAGCCTGAGGGAAGCAGCTAGAAGTTTCGAAATATGCCATGTAACACTTCATACATTTATGAAAAAGAAGAAAGAAGGCTTACCGGTGGAACTGGGATATAAAAAAAATAGACAAGTGTTTAATACACAACAAGAAATTAAGTTAGCAGAATATCTTCTACAATGTGCTGTAATATATTTTGGCTTGCTACCTAGTGAAGTCAAAAAACTGGCGTATGAAATTGCCGTTTATCACAAGATTTCCAACATTCCTGAAAGTTGGACAAGAAATAAGTCCGCTGGTAATGACTGGTTTACAGCATTTTTGAAGAGGAACCCAAATTTGGCACTGCGAAGCCCGGAAGCAACCAGTTTAAGTCGAGCTACGTCGTTTAACAGAACAAATGTGGAACAGTTTTTCACAAAATACAAGGAAATTCTTCAGAGGTACAATCTAACTGCAAGTAGGATTTGGAACGTTGACGAAACGGGAGTCAAAACAGTGCAGAAACCAAAGAAGATCGTCGCACAGCGCGGTTCAAAACAAGTTGGAGCAGTCACATCTGCCGAAAGGGGCGTCTTGGTAACTGTGGCAGCAGCGGCAAATGCATTAGGTAACCACATTCCTTGCATGTTTGTGTTTCCACGAATCCGATATAATGACATTTTCATTAAAAATGGCCCGCCTGAAGCTATTG